AGACAAAATTAATCAAAATTCTTAGTGACCATGCCAGATGTATCTGTGAGCCTGGCAGATTATGAGATGAGTTGAGCCATCTTGCTAACGCTGTACAGGCTAATGGATACTCCGCCAGGGGAATCAGGCAAGCAGTGTGCTCCAACAATAAAAATAACATTGAATATACAGTGGTACCTCGGGTCACGAACGCTTCTGTTCACGACCAATTCGGGTCGCGACCAGAGTCGTGGAACGAATTAAATTCGTGAACCGAGGTACCACTGTATATTCAATGTTATTTTTATTGTTGGAGCACACTGCTTGCCTGATTCCCCTGGCGGAGTATCCATTAGCCTGTACAGCGTTAGCAAGATGGCTCAACTCATCTCATAATCTGCCAGGCTCACAGATACATCTGGCATGGTCACTAAGAATTTTGATTAATTTTGTCTTTTGGCGGGGATGATGGTTGAAATATTTATGTAGATAGAGCGCTGTGTTCTTTGGCTTTTGGTATACTGTAAGCCCTACTTGTTGATTTTCTCTTCAACTGATCAGAACACCCAAAAATGCAAGTTGGCCATCTTTTTCCTCCTTCATCATAAACTGAATATTAGGGCGGGTGTTATTTATATGCTCTAGAAATGGTTATCCCCCACTAATTATTTAGATTACAAAACACAGTAATACCACAAAGTTATGAATTGGGTTCATAATGACCTGTGTAATCTGAACCTTAGAAGTGTAACTTTGATTTCTATGTATATCAAGAATACAATTAATTTCATAAAGAAACTTAATAAGCTCAACCTTGGACAAGGTGACAGATTGATTAGATTTGATGAGGTTTCCCTTTTCACCAAAGTACCATTTAAAGAGATGCAGTTATATATCAAAGAAATATTTCCTGAAGACATTATTAATCTGTTCCATCATTGCCTCACTATGAATGGGAGGGGGAACAATACTCAGCTGAAACAAAACTCCAAATCAGCAACTTAAGGAATCAAACTCTTTTGTCACAAATTTCCAGATATTTTTTTCTTATACCTCTCTTCCTAGAATGCCAACAATCCCCTACAAAATTATATAGTGAATACAGAACAGAAAAAGATGCTGGAGGCATCTGTCCAAAAGGAGTACTCTGTCCATGGTGGCCCACCAGATGCTTATGGGAAACCTACAGAAAGGACACTTTCCCACTCCTGTTCTCCTGCTACAACTCTTGAGAGTCGTTAGTTAGCTAAGGTGGGTCATACACATAACCTGGAACAATTCAGGGGAAGGTATACGACTGTTGCTTTCATTTTGTACATTTCAAGCTGGTCCATGGTCCGTCTAGTGTGATGTAATTGACTGACAGCGATGTTCCAGAGTTTCAGACAGGACTGAATCTAGGAGCCACTATGTGCAAAGCAGAGATTCTCTGGTTGAGCCATGGTCCCTGATTACAGTGGGGCTCGCACAGGAAATCTTTGCAATGATTTATGCTCTAAAATTATTATATACAGAATAATGACAAAAATGTTAGAGACTCCCTAGAATTGCGGGCAAAGATAAAAATTAAGCTATACATTTTAATTGGTATTAATGAAATCCAAATAGGTTTTTAAAGTTAAATCAGAGTTACAGCTAGTATAACATTTTCCAGTTGGATCAGATCATTCTCATCTGGTTATGCATGTCAACATACAGCTCATGTTGATTCCCATCCAACTGCATAACCTAGAGGCTCATGCCAGTAAACATCTGGCTAATGACAGTAGTACTTTGTGCCATTCAAGATAGTCACAGTTCAGCCTCATTTCTTCCCCCGTTCAGCTCCCCCCCCCGCTTCATATGCTTAGAATCACAGCTGCAAAGGTGACTGTATCTAGACAAAATGCTCTAATGTATTCTTCCAGTGAGAACAAGTACTTTTACACTGGATACACTGGGTTTTCCCAATTGCAGTGCTATTGCAGAGAGGAGCTTACACCATCCCATGACTGTTTAACCATAAGCCTTGGGCTATGTCACATATCTAGGAAGAAACAGCACCTACCATTTTCATGGATATTCTTTTGATTCCCTGTTACCTTTCCTTGTGTGGCTTCTTGTACCAGCACTTCCTCTTAAAGTGCCTAGAAGCTGATTGCATCCTTTTCCTATTGCCTTCTTCACTGGACCGCCCTGCCACAACCACATGCAGTTAACTCCTTGGCAGCTATTGGCCTGAACATTTAAGCCTTACTTTTCTCAGATTTGGGGATAACTCTAGCCACATTGTGGTATACTTTAAACTTTAAGGCTGCTACACAAATAATAGCCATAGTATGAAACTGAAAGCAGTAAGATTACCTTTTCAGGGGCTACACGTAAAGGTGCGTATTTATAAAGAAGTTGCTAAAATCCAGGAGAAGTCAGAAGTTGTGGTAGATCCATGGGTCAAAATGGGAACATTTCAGCAGAATCACCAATTTTAAGAAGCACTACTGTATGTGTTTTTCTGCCACCTTAATACTAAGTCCAGAGGTTGTCTGCTATGTTTACAATAGTCCAGTGCTGTGTGTTTTGCCAACTAATTAGTTTCATGAAAAAGCTACAACATCCTGCGCAAAAACATTAAAAACCAAAGGGAAGAGCAGCAATTGAAATCCAGCAGGCTTAACGGATTTGGAAAAAGGTGGGGGCTGGGGGCCTTTTTCAAAGTAATATTTTTATCAGGGCCCTTTTCCTTGCTGTTTCACACATCCCTAGAACTAAGTTAGTATGCTTGCTTATTTGTAAATGAATTTTGTTTTCCCCCACCCCCAGGACCCTTGCATTCTCCATTATTCCAGTGCTTAAACATCAGCTACATCAAGGCATAGAACCAATCCTTAATATGCTACTAATTTTAGGTCCAGACCTAAATTAAACCTCATTCTATAGCCACCCACAATTCCGTGCTGTTTAAGGATGATCGTGGACTTCTACAACTGCTGCATCAGAAAATATTTTGTTGAAAAAAAACATTAAGAGTGCAACAAAGTCACTTTGTTTTGGCTTGCTAGTCTTACTGGCTTGCATTTGCCACCTTGAAACTGTGCTTAATGTTCTCACTCTAAGATCTTTGTCTAAGTCAATACTATTTCACTAACCTTCCGTTCTATATTGTATTTGATTCCTATTTTTGTTACAGTCTACGTATCTGGGTTGCACACACCTGAATGACCCCTAGAGAACAGCAAAGACATAGAGAAAACTAACTCTTCACTACCATCTAGTTGTCACTGAGATTTTTGCAAATTAGATCTGATCACTTGTCCTTCTTTGCAAACTGTTGTGCTACTGCAATCCATAGGAAACAACTGTTGCCTTACCAATATACTGTACATTGCACACACACAAACACATACACACACACCACAAGATTAAAATGGAAACCAAAATCAAATACGGCGTAACCCAAAGACATTGCCAGAAAATTGCTCTGAGCCATATTGGTACAGCTTTGACAAATGATTTTACAACCTTTGTTTATGATTTTGTTAAGAGCTGAATAGATGACTTAGATAGGTCAACCTCTTCTCATTTTCCATTCTTCCTAATATGGTGGCAATCTCTTTTACTGTCTATGATTCCATCATGGGCTGATCTCAGGGGCTCTCCGCAGATGAAGAAGAGAACCAGGAGGAGGCACCACAAGAATTTGGACCCTGCACTGTCACATTATACAAACCAGGAGGCAGACCTGCTGTCCCTGCCATTGACTCAGCAGGCTCTAACTGTACCATACCTGCCCTGGATCCAGCTGACTCTGTCCTACACCAACACCCATTTCACCCTGCCCTCAGGAAGACCTAAGAAGACCTAACGATCCAAAGACAAGAGATACAAGAGTGCTGGGCTAAGCTAAGAGACAACTTGGCAGGGCTACTCACAGGTAACTTGCTGAAGGAAGCCAGGCCTGAACAGGCCCAGCTGTGATTGGGTGGGAGAAGCTGCTGATATTTAGGGAGCAACCTGGGTTTCTTAAGCTTTGCTGGAATCGGAGTGCCCTGGGAAGGGTTTTGTGCCTTCCTGTCTCAGAACTCCCAGCTGCAAAGACCTCCCCTTGGAAATCGACTTGGATTGTCTGTGGACAGTCTCTCTTTTGACTATGTCTTTGGGTACTGTCTGCATGGTGGATCTGCTTATGTGGATGAAGCCTGGGCTGAATTCATGATTTCATGAAGGATTTACTACAAGTGTAAACCAAATAAGCACTGCTGTTTGTGAGGCCAAGAGCGAGACATTAATACAGATAGTCCTCGCTTAACAACCCTAATTGGGACTGGCAACTCTGTCACTAAGCAAAGCGGTCATTAAGCAAAACATCATGTGACTGCCTTGCTTGGCGACGGCAGTTCCGGTAGTCCTGGTTGCAGTTGTAAAGTGAATTACCCCTGCTTGTTAAGTGAGACATCACATGACCATGACTTGCAGCCTCCTGCTGGCTTCCCCATTAACTATGCTTGTCAGAAGCCAGCTGGGAAGGTTGAAAATGGTGATCATGTGACTGTGGGACACTGTGATCATCATAAATGCACAATAGTTGCCAAGCGCCCAAACTGCGATCACATGACTGCAGGGATGCTGCAATGGTCATAAGTGCAAGGACTGGTTGTAAATGACTTTTTTCAGCATTGTCATAACTTTAAACAGTCACTAAACAAATGATTGCTAAGTGAGGACTATATGTATATTAACCTTTGGGTTTGAGGGACATGCCTGAAACATTTTCACTCCCCTCCCTTCTTATCTGTCTGTCTGTCTGCCTATCATCTATCCATCCTCCATCCATCCATCCATCCATCCATCCATCCATCCATCCATCCATCCAATATAAATGGCCCATCCAGTGCTCTCTGAAAGCCCCACTCCCAAGACGGCCACAGAAATTGCAGCTGGCTTTTTTAAGCTGTCCAAGATAATTAATAAACAATCGTACCTAGTGCAAAGGTACCTTTAGACAACATAGACTGATATTCTCAGAGGACCCCAACATTATAGGATTCTTTCAGTTCTACAACTCTTTAGTCTGAGAACTCTGTGAAACCCTTGAGTGATAGGTTCTTAAGGCCTGCTTAAGAACAACTGATAGCCTTGATGATCTTTCAGTTAATGCTGTGTTGAAATCAGCTGGGCAGTATCTAAAAAAGCCAGTATTTTTCCACAAATGTATAGTGATAGAGAGTGCTACTAGTGGTAGTGTTGCTTTTTATTATTCATCTTTCCCTGATTACTCACACTGCCCAATCTGAAGAAAGGAGTTTTTCCCTTAGGATGTAACTGAAATCTAAAACCCCTGGAAGCATCAGAGCCTCCAGTGGTACAATGAAAAATAAGACATATATACTCATCTCTTAACTAGCTGGTAAGAGCACTACCCTATAAATACTTGTCTGAAATTTTCTTCTTTCAGAAGATAATTCTAAAGCAAATTCACTTTTTTCAAATTACATGACAACTGGTAGAAGAAATGTTCTCCAGAAAAATTGGAGTTGACAAGGGACTGGTTACAACATTGATCAAGAAGACAGGGTTAGTTACTATGCATGTGTAGTAGAAAATGGATTTGTGCTGGAATGGAATCATTTTGCCCTCTGCAACAAATCCTCTGGAACAAGAGTTTTCCTTAGAAATCAAACAGTTTGCTGGATTGCTATGAATCTTTATCTTATGTTCAGCTGGTATGTCAGTCATCTTAGAACATAGCAGTGCCATACATTTCCAATTGCTCCTTACATGGAAACTGTCTGGAGTAAGTCCTAAAAATTATTATTGCTTCTGGAAATGGGGTGGGGATGGGGATACATGAGTAACAGAACAATGCTGGAACAACCAAAATCCAATGCAAAGAACTGTGGATCTAGTCCTCACTCTTCCCAATTAATTTTTTCCTCCCTTGAATTGCTTTAGCTCTGTAGGGAACTCTTTGATTCATCTGATTTTTCTCAGACACATTGCCAGTTAAATTAAAACAAAACAACAATTTCCGATATTTTCATCAGCTTGGAGTAGACAAAAGGAGGAAGTGACTTTTCAATCTACTTTCTAGAAGTATCTTTGGTAGTTTGAGATTAAACATAAAGGACATATAAGGAGGACAGAAATTCTCCACAAAGATTGTTTGGATTCAAAGCAAGAGCAAAAAAAAGTTGATGGAAGATAGAGAATGAAAATAAACAGTTATCAATGGTGGGGACATTCAAATGGACTTGGGAAGTATATACTGAGTTGTTTCCAGGGGCATATTATATGTGATGGGTAAACAAAATGTGATGCAAAAAATATAAAATATTTTTTAAAGCTCAAGATGGATATAGATGAAGGATACTGAGTCCTCCTTATCTCCTGGACTCTATCAGTTCAGGCACTTTTTCTCTCCCTTGTTCATTTTCTGTATCTGAGCAGGTTGGGATTACAGAGAAGCAAGGAAGGGATGTAGATGAAAGTAGAGAATCTCTTAATTGCATAAAAATTATGGCACCTAGGTATCTGCTTGACTACTGCCTCTGCAGGGAGGACCAACCCATCTGGTACAGGGACATGCTAAGAAGAACATGTCATGGAGAGGTAGAGCACACTGGGTTTTGAGCTTTGCTACTGTGTAAGGAACAATGTGCCCCTCAAGATTCCTGATTTCATCCTGGAACGCAGTAAAGAAAGACCAAACATTTTGTAGGGCCTTTGATGTCCAAAGTACAGTACCCACTTTCTGACACCAGGATGTGGCTTTATATTTGGGACAATTTATTGTTGCTTTATGAGTTTGTTAATGCTTGAAAACTGCCATGAGTTTGTCTAAGTTGGTAGTCTATAAATAAGGTAGGTAAGTGAATACATTTCTTTAGTCTTCATTACACTTTATTGCAGTAGATATGTACATATTTATTGTTATAAAACCTCAAAATCTACTTGATCAGAAGTAATAGCCAGGTAAGTATACAGCCCTGGGCAGCATTCAAATTATCCTTAAGTTTCTTTTAAAAAGAAGTATTAGTTACATGTAGTATAAACAAGGTTGAATGTGGGAAGAGCTTCTCATGAAAACCCTGGATGAGAGGAAATCGAAGGAAAAATGTATCTCTTAAATTGGTAATTTTGTGATATAAAACTGTTCC